GGACGCGGGGCGGGAGGGCGCTGGGACGCGGGGCGGTGTCCCTTGGGGCGCCGGGGTGGAGGAGTGGTGCTGGAACTGGGGCCGGGACCCGTGGGAGGGGGCAGGGGGACGCGGCTCCGAAGGCGGCGGGGGTCCCCGGGGCGCTGCGTCCCTCGGAGCCCCGGAGAGCTGCAGGGCGGGTCTTTGTCGCGAAGAGACAAAGCCGCTGAACCTGGGCCGTCGCCTGTGCAGGTGCGCGGGCTCGTTCGCGGGAGGCGTGCGCTAGGGGAGCGGGCTTACTGCACGAGGTCGCCGCTCAGGGGTTGATTGGACGGAATCTCGCGACACCCCAGGCACTGGCGCTTGTGCCGGATCCACGTGAGAGTTCTCCGGGTTTGCTTTTATGAGGTTTTGGGGTTTTTTAAATATTTGGTCGAGTAATTTGCTGTTTGGCATCTTGGGCCACCATCCCATAGTTACGTAAAAAGTTGCACGTGGAATTCACTACGTAGATTTAGAAACTTAAGCTATTTTAGAACAAGGGACTGCTTTCCTAATCATGTAACAGAGCACATCCTAACCTGATACCGGGCAGACGCTGTTTGGTGTGGGGAAGGGAGGACTTACCGTGGTACCTGAGTTCACTCACCTGCCAGCCCCTCCCTGGGTCTGTGAGAACTCCCGGCTGCGGTGTGAGGGACCAGCCTTCCATCGCTGGCTGCCCAGCTTTTACACGGTGGTGAGATCCCGACCCACACCATGTCCTGCATGAGCCGCGGTCACTGAGCGCTTCACCTGGATTCTCTTAGACTTGTTGGAAGGAGGACTCCTGGAGACTCAAAAAGGCAAATGTATTTCCATGAATAGAAGTATAATCCAATATATCTCTTCTGGGCCCAATTTAATTTGCATTATCATTTTTTATTGCGTAGGTTTCTGGCCTTGGTGGGAAACTAGCTGTGAGTGAAGATGTGCTGAAATTTCACAAAAGTATGGGAAAGGTGGTAGAAATTGAAACGCAGTCATTTTTCTTTTCCTTCAGATTTTTACCATTAAAATGGTGAATTAAATGTTCATGCTGGTTCATCCTTTCCCATGATGGAGTGTGCACAGAGCCCTGATTTGCAGCTCTGCTGTTTCTCTCTGTTTATTGAAACCATCTACCTCACAGGACTGCCAGTACTGGTCAGTATCCTGTATTTCAGGTATTGGTCTCATCTGTTATGATTTTATTAAGACAAGGTCCTGAGTCATATTATGGCCAGCCACATACCACCATTCCTTACCCCATCCTTGGTCAGAAAATGTCTTTTATTCTTAAAACTAAAATCTGCATACTCGTGGTGTGCCTAGCACCTTTTGCAACAGCGTACCAAAGAGGAATTTGGTGTGGTGTCCTTTGTTCCTCACCTCCAAGGGCTGTTCCTGTCCCACCCCTGTCCAAGTCTGTGGGATCATCCACAAGGGACAATTAAAAACTCAGCCTGCCCCGCCATCTTTCTCAATTTTGGACCTGACTGGGCAACTCTAAAGGAAAAGTGTGCATTTACAACTAAAGACAACACTTCAGTTAGGGGAGAAAAAAGGAACTGAAATGGTGCCTTTGCTTCCTCTCAACTCCAGGTTGTTCCTCATCCTGGTTCTGGCCACACCTTTCTCGCTTTGGATTTTAAGTGTTACAAAAATCCTAACCCACCAAGTTCTGGGAGACAGCTCCAGACAGCCCTTGCACCCCAGCTTCACTGTTTCTCCTCCTGGCTTTTCCGGGCCTCTTCAGAAACCCCTCGAGTCCCCTGGCATCCGTTGGTCACTGCTTCAGCCCTGAGGCTTAGCGCCGTCCCAGGCTCCAGCACTGGTCCTTCCATAGTCTCATAAACCTCATCCTCCGTCTTGGACAATAATCCGCTGGCTGCTCCTGCAGGCGGCCATGGAAAGGAGGAGGAACCCAAACAATATCCTGAGGGTCTGGAGACGCAGAACAGGTCTCAGATGGGGAAGGCTGACTTCCTGGCCCTATTCCATTCTGAGTCCCGGTGAGCGTTCCCTCCAGTCTGAGTGTGAGTTCTGCAAATTGCTTTAGGTGTTTTGCTTCCACAATTAGAATGTCGTGGAGACTGTAGCCTACCCGATACCTGTTACTCCCTTCTTCCCAACAGAAGCCCAGTTTTGTTCAGGTGTCCGTTCCTCCTCCAGGCCTGCACGCCTCAGGGAAGACTGACACTGTCCCCAGCCTGAGTCTGAAAGATCTACGGGAATTCCCGTTGCTTTTGCAAGGTGGTAGCTCAGAAATGAGCTAATGGGGAACAGGAGGCAAGAGGGAAAGGAGCCAGAGGGGAAGGAGGCGTTCTGGAAGTTTCTGCACTCTTCATAGAGAGCTATAAGGAGGGAGGTGGAGTTTTCCCTTCCTTTGGAGGTTGTATGTCTACATGTAACGCGATAGCTCTTTTGCTGCAGCCTGAGCATGTAACCAGCTAGAGCAGGGAGGTGTGTCCCTCAATAACATTATTGAGCCACAGTCCCTGTACCCCGGCTGACCTTCCCCATTCAGTGAGATAATTTGCTAGTATCTGAAGCCAAAAGCAGTGTATAAGAGAGGGTCCTGTTTTCTGTCCTCAATTGCTTGTTATTTAAGGCAAATAAACCCTACCTGCTTAACTTCCAGTGTACCAGGGGAACAGTCATCACCAATGGACCTCCTCTATTGTTTTCATATTTTGATGTCATTTTGCAAATCATTTATAAGAGGCAGAATAAAGGAATGGTGAAAATAATTTTTAAATTAATTTTTATTGGAGTATCGTTGCTTTACAATGTTGTGTTAGTTTCTGCTGTACAGCAAAGTGAATCAGCCATACATACACATATATCCTCTCTTTTTTGGATTTCCTTCCCATTTAGGTCACCGCAGAGCACTGAGTAGAGTTCCCTTTGCTATACACAGGCTAGGTTCTTGTTAGTTGTCTATGTTATACATAGTTGTGTGAAAAATAATTTTTAAATAAATTTTAAAAAGAATTTAAACATAGCAAACTCAATTTTTTATTGCATATTTTCCTACATTTGAAGGAGCATTACCCTAACTGGCCAAGAATACAACTATTGACAGGACCGAGGATTATGGATTTTTGCATCTCCAGCTCCGTATGTGGATTCTATGAGGTAATCGGTAGCGGGGATGTGGGGTTTTTTGAACAAATTAAATGTAAAAATGTTGATCTGATACTGTTACTTCTCAGTTTAAAAAACTGCCCACAAGACACTCCTTCTTCCAAACTTAAAAAAAAATAGTTTCTTTTCAGGTAATATTTACCTATTTATTAATGCCTCTAAGGTGTGTAACTTTGGTCCAGGCACTTAAATTCATGCACATATTTCAGATTCTGTGGACTTTATTTCACCTGCAGAGGTGAGGTCTTTGGAGCAATACAGAAACCCTTTCCCACACACTCATTCACACTCAGACACAGTGCGTAACATTTAGAAGATGCAGGGAGGTACAGAGATGGATATGGTCATGTGTCCATCTGCAAGCTGGGTAAGTAGAAATAGCTACACATAACACGTGTGTGACCTTCCTTCCTTTATCTGTCTTTTTTTTTTCTTTTTTGTTCACTTGTTCATTTAACAGGGATTTTATTTTGGGGGTCTGATGACCACTTAAGTCAGTAGTTCAACAGACATCATACTTCATTGCTCTTCAATCGTGAATTCTACGTGAATTCATCCAGTTCTCGTATTTAGCCAGTAGTCATCTGGTGTGCCAGTGCCACCTGTGCCCTAGCCACTGACTCTTCCCTGTTTGTTGCACAAAAATTACTTTGAAATTCTGCTTCAAACTGGGACTTGCCCACCCGCATTCTGCCCCACCTCCTCTTCCTCAAAGCCCACTAAAACGACAGCATTGGAATAAGGGGTTGGCCTGCAAGGAACAAGGACAAAGGGCAGGAGAGATTTCCACAAACATTTGGCCAAGGACAAGTGTTTGCAGGTGGAAAGTGGATGAAGGAGGAGTAACTAGTTGATCAGAGAGGAGGAGTTCAAACCCAAGAATGAAGACGCGGGCCAGCCCCCCCGAGACTCTGAAGCCTCCGCACTTGGGAGGTGAGGGTCCCTGAAGGATGGGTGAAGGTCTACACGTGAACTGGTTAGACCCCAGGGCCCTTCTCTCCTCACCCTGCACTACCAGGCACTGTCTATCCATCCGTGGGCCAAAGAGGGGCATCAGGTGAGTGCCTGGCCAGAGGGAGAGGATGGCGGCAGACAAAAGCTCTCCAGACATCTGCCATGACAGGAGCCCAGTGGAAGGCCGGTTCTCTACTAGAGCACCTGCTTGTAGATTTCACAAATCAGTACTCCACACAGAGAATTTCTTCTAAAATGTTTAGAGTCTCACTCTTCAGTATGAAGGGCAGTCCAGGAATCGGTAACCATGTGATGAACACCTGCAACATGGTAAGGAAAATACACACAGAAGTGAAAGGGAACTGGAGCAAACAGACAATGCAAGGAGAACGGGACTTCAAAGCTGTAATTGATTAATAGCATCAAAGGGACAAAGTAAGATATGCCTGTAACACAAAAACAGGAAGCGATAGAACACTCAACAAGAAAGTGCTCTTGAAAATTAAATATATGATGTAAATAAAATATTCAGTGAAAAGAACTGAAGGATAAAGTTGGGAAAGATGGAAAATAGAAGAGGAAAGATGAGAATGTTGGCGAATCCATCCAGAGAATTACTAATAAGAGCTTCAGAAAGGAGATCAGAGAAAACAGTGGGGAGCAAATCACCAAAGAAATAATAAAAGAAAATTTCCCATAGCTGAAGGGGAGGTGTCCCCATATGGATAGGGCCTGCCCAGAATAGGACATGTCCTTGAACTTCAAGGCATTTCATCATTAAATTTCAGAACATCTTGGAAAAGGGGAAAAAACTGTAAAACCTCTCAGAAAAGCTAATCAAAAAATGGAGCAAGGGGCTTCCCTGGTGGCGCAGTGGTTGAGAGTCCGCCTGCCAATGCAGGGGACACAGGTTCATGCCCGGGTCCGGGAAGATCCCACATGCTGCGGAGCTGCTGGGCCCATGAGCCATGGCCGCTGAGCCTGTGCGTCTGGAGCCTGTGCTGCGCAACGGGAGAGGCCACAACAGTGAGAGGCCCGCGTACCAGAAAAAAAAA